TCTGTGATGTTGTCATTTCTTGTGCTCAAGGAGCCGATTTCTGAGAACTCACGGCAGTGTGCCTCCCCGAGATGTCATCCAATTTGCGCCCAGAGATCTTATTCTGAGTATTCACAGCAGCCGTAGCCTCTCCAAGATCTTATCCGTGCTGACTCAATGAGCCCATTTTGAGAAACTCACGCCTCTCCCATCATTCCAATCCCAGCGGGCAGCCTTGTGGGGGTTTGAACAGCCGGTTCTGCTTTCTTAATTCTTCGATAAGTTAGGGCCAAGCCAGCTCCGATCAGCCAGAACCCTGTTACCATGGTTAGATATCTTCAGCACTCAGGCTCACCCAAGCCCAAACGTCTCGTTGAGAAAGGGGTGTCAATTGCATTTAGGGACCAGCTGATCCAATCCATAATTCCTCTTTTAGATTTTAGAGAACAGACTGTGAGAATGTTCCAGGGAAAAGTAATACAAAAAACACGAGAGGAGGAGAGGAGAAAAGTGCGACCGCCTTCGTCAAGAGCAAGAGCAAGGAAATGCTTAAAGAAAATGCTTTCAATATTTTGTTATTTTTGATCAGATATGTGTTCTGAAATGTTTTTTTGTTTTTAAAATTTTTTGCAAAATATTTGATTCAATGTAGAAGGTGTAATAGTGAACATCTATTTCATGATTTCCATCATTTTCAAAAGGATTCTGTCATGGTCCCTGTGCCTGTTTGGCTGGCTCAGTGTGGCTACAAGTGTTTTTGTCTATCTTGTCCCTCCTCGCTCCCCTCTCGCGCTACCGGGGGCGGAGTTCATTGTGGGCTTCCGCACCTGCAAACAATCATCTGTGATCAGCACTCTCTCAAGCTCACTACTTAATGCAGCTGCTAGGATTGCCTTGTGGCTGGATTATTGTGTAACCCTTGTCAGTGTTTCCTTAATTCTTCGGCTTTCTTCAAGTTTCCTTTGTGCATCATTCTAATACTAATCTCCTCTCTCCATGCCAGACTCTGCATGCCCAGCCTGAGGACCTGCTGCTACTGATCTGTTGTGAGTGTGGTGAGTCGGTGAGGTGTGAGCATGAAGAGGAATCCCTGGGAGGAGAAGCCCCCATGTGTGAATAACCCGCTTGTGTTTTGACCTCACTGCCTTTGTGACCCCTGGAGACCCCAACCTCCTTTCCCTTTACCTGTACATAGTAGCACTTGGTGTAAGAAAAGAAACTAACTGATCTCTGTGATTCCAGTCTGCGTCTGAGTCCCTCCTGAGCTCGTGACAGATTCACTTGTTGAATAATGTTCATTGCAGTCTCATTTATGTTGATGTAAATATCTGGAATTATAACATTGTTTGTTTGAAGTTCTGGTAATGGCCCTTCTTCATGGAGGTGAGAGTTAACATAAATGTTATTTATAAATGACTGTATTCCAACATTGTTTGTGACACCTGTATGCCACAGCTGAAAAGGTGTCTGTCCTCCTTGTGTAGAGAGACTTCCACTTATTGACAAATTCTGTTAATGCTCTTTCAGTCCTTGGCAAATAAACATAATGCACACAAAAAAGATGTAGCTCATTCGGTGAATCCAGCATACCCTGTTCTTCCATAAAGTTAAAAATATTTATGAAGTGTCTTGATACAGCTCTGTTGGGTTCTGCCCACAGTCTTTCAGTTCTTTGGTTATGTACTGAAACACCTGTAGTAACACTGCCTACTCCTCTTCTCTGTAAGATAAAACGAGCAACCTGTATATTTTCCATACCATGATTACACCTGACCCTTAAGGGCAAACCTGTGGCGGAACACCAGGTGGCTCCACTCACACCCAAGTAGAAAGGAAGTGTTGGGGTGGAGATTTTGGCGCTTTTTGTATGTGGAGTTCTGGTGAATCCGTTAATAAAGTTGAAGTGAGACACTGAGACCTCTCCTGTTGTCTTTACATCCCTCCACATTGGTGGAGGCAACCTTAGCAAACATGCTAAGGTTCAAAGATGAAGCCAGCTCCGGCCTAGGAGCATCGGCTGCTGCCGGACTTCCACCTCCGCCGATGGCTGCGTTTGCTGTGGCTCTTAAGTTCCCGGATTTTTGGCTTCACGACCCTTCTTTATGGTTCGTGCACGTAGAAGCTCAGTTTGCTCTTCGTAGAGTTTCAGCCGATGATACCAACTACAACCATGTGGTGGCCTCACTTGACCCGCTGTCCACCCGCCGCATGATAACTCTCCTCTAGGACCCCCCTGCCCAAGGCAAATACACCGCCCTCAAGGCGTTACTCACTCTCTGATGCTGAGCGGGCCGAGGCACTCCTCTCCCTCGCGGGCCTGGGTGATGGTACCGCTCTCGAGCTCATGGAGAGCATGCTGTCCTTACTGGGCGCGGATGACAGAGGATTCCTCTTCACTCACATCTTCCTCCGATAGCTGCCGGCTCCGGTGCGCACTGGCCTTGCCAACTCCCCGCTATTGGCCACGAAGGATTACCGCTCCCATTGCGGAAGAGGTGGATTGCATCCTCCTGGCTACCAGGAGTTTTGGTGTCCAGGCAATTGTCCCCCACTCACCAGCGGCTTCCCCCGCCCCCTCACCAATACTCCAGGGGCCCTCCGACTTGTCAATGGTGGCTGGAATCACTGCATGGTGGCACAGCAGAAAAGGGCTTTGTTTTTATCACCAGAGTTTTGGAACGAAGGCACGGTGCTGTCTGCCACCTTGCAGTTTCAACACTCAGAGAAACACAGAAGAGCCTTCTTCCCCCGACTGGCTTGGACAGGCTAGCTGAAGGCTGCGGACCACTGCTAACTGCGGCTAATGGCTCCCCAACCAACCTTTCACCCTTCGGTGACCGTTTGCTTTCATTTGTAGTTCACTTTGTAGTTGCTGCTAGCCAGAGGTGGGTAGTAACGAGTTACATTTACTCCGTTACATTTACTTGAGTAAGTTTTTGAAAGAAATGTACTTTTAAAGTACCTTTTTTGCACGACACTTTTTACTTTTACTTGAGTACATTTATGAAGAAGAAATGGTACTTTTACTCCGCTACATTTGCAAAACTTGACTCGTTACTTTTTAAAAAAATAATTAGTTTAACACATTAGATAACATGCCGCCAGTGGAGTTTCCTGTAACTTTTTTACCAATAGGGCTTTGGAGCGTGATGTCACGGGGGTGGGTGTGGAAAGGATTTTGGCCTGATCCGCCATGTTCGGGGTCTAAGCGCAAGCGACGAAGGAGCAAAAGCACAGCCATGGTTCGTACTTGCTGTGTGGTCGGCTGCAATGTTCGATCTTACGATCGGCACGGGAATAAGCTTGGGTTGTCTTTTTATGCTTTCCCAAGCTGGAAGCAACATCAAGGAGCTCGGGTATCAGATGTTACCAAACGAAGGCGTCGAGCCTGGATAGCAGCCGTGAGATGAGCTGATATCAAGTTCGTACAGAACGACCATCTAATTTAAAGGCTCTTGCTCAAACATACTCGCACTACAAGGGTACACACACCATGAAATACCTGATCGGGATTACTCCACAAGGTGCAATTTCGTTCATTTCTAAGGGGTGGGGGGCCGTGCATCAGCTAAACACATCACAGAGCAATGTGGCATACTTAACAAGCTGTTACCAGGGGATGTAGTTTTGGCTGACAGAGGCTTTGACATCAGAAATGCGGTGGGAATGATGTGTGCGGAGGTTAAGATCCCAGCATGTTGTGTTTTGGTTAACATGTGCCCCAGTGTGGTAGTGAAACCAGACACACATGAGACTTGTTCTTGTTAATTAATGATTGTGAAAACTTTGAGTATGTCTCTGAAGAAATAGTACTAGGAGAACCTTTTTTGTTATGTGTAATTGTATGAACACACTGACATTACATTGTGTAACCATTTCTGTATCTGTATACTATAATTGACAGTTTATCATCGCTTTGAACTCTGTGTTTCACTAAAATGACATTATAATAAAAGCCAGGTAACGACAAAGATCTGCATTTGACGCTTTATTTTACACTTTGACAATTGTTACAAAATAGCCAAATCTTGCACCCAGCCGTTTGTAAATTGTATGTGCGCCTCCAGTGACTTGTAATTACGAAACTGGTTCGCTGTGTAGGCGCTTACTCCACAAACAAGATACGTGAAGATATCGGGTTAGGACAGTGGCGGTAAGTCGTCTGGGTCTTTACTCCACTGCCGTATTTCATATGGGTCCAGATTTGCGATGCACTCTATTTTTTTCAAGTACCGCTGCTTCGCCTCTGGACGCAATCGGTCTCTATACCGTCCGTTTTCTTTGGAGCTGCTTTTAAGCAAGTGAGAGACAAAAATATATCCTCTGATTTGCTGGAGTTTTGTGTAAATATCATTTGGCAAGGATAAACAACATGTTCCAATGCCACATTAAAATTTTCATAACCTTCATTTTTTCAATTAGTTTACAGTTTCCTGATTTGATGATAAATCTGTACCGAAATGAAGTCCACATTGTGATATATTTGAGGTGTGGAGAGTCACACAGCTGAACAATCGATGTGCATATTTAAAGAAACAGG